AAAAAATCTAAAGATACATTTGTGTGTACGCTTATTTATATCAAGAACATATACAAGCATATGTATCTTGTAAAATACAGTGTCCAGAAAATATTATTTATTTTAAGACAGAGATATTTACAACCGCAGATTTAAGTAATTTCTCATGTAAATACATTGCGTAAAACAGATTTTTTAATGTCCGTTCAGAAACAGAAAAAAATGATTGTTTTCGTTGTCGTAACAAAAACTTCATTTTTGTACCTGCCAGTTTATGTTTTGATTGTTGCAAAAAGGTTTTCTAACAAATTGCAATGAACATCGACAGTTCGATTTTTTTTTTATTACGAAGATGTAGAAAAAGTTTGCAGTTTTATAAACTTCAGTTTTTTATTCAAATTAAAATATTTATCATGGAAGCCCTCAAGGATTCTGTCAAGGACTTTGTAATATCGATCGCAAAGATCATTGATTGACAAAGTCTGAAGAAGAATCGATGACAAATTGAGCTTGAACTCTTGAAAATCAGCATTTTTATTTGCGGCTCTTTTTTTTATGAGTTTCAACCCCGACACTAAGTCTCCATGACAGGGATGGAAAAAACCCCCAAAGAATACACACAATTATTATAAGCATTGATACGTAAATTATCAGATATTGTAGATGACATTTAAGTTGTCTGGTCAGCCGGAAAAATATACGTCAATACCCGTATTTTGGGGGTGGAATGTAAAAATAATACACAAAAATCCAAACCTTTATTTTCCGAGATATATATATATATATATATATATATATATCTTTCTCACTCTCTCACTCTTTCTCTCTCTCTCTCTCTCTCTCTCTCTCTCTCTCTCTCAATTATTCTATCTCCCACTTTATGTATATTCACTTTCTGCTCAGTTACCTAATCAGAGTCTTGAATATTTTAGCTTCCAAAAGAGTGGCCATGTATTTTCCAGAATATTTTTAGAAAGAGTAATACAGTTTCGTACCCATGATAGACTATCACAGTGGTCAGCAACCTACGGCACACGTGCCACTAGTGGCACGCCAAGCACGCAGCCGCAAATGACATCACGAACTCTGAACCAATAACTAGTACAACTAGGTTGTTTCAATTTTGATATATACTAAAGTATATATACTATTTATTACTATATAAAATATTATTGTAGAACAGGTATATTGACCTTGACTTGTATAAAAATACGTATACTGTTGGCACATTGAATGATTTTAAAACCCTAACTCGGCACATAGTTAGCAAAAGGCTACCGACCCCTGGTCCATCATACGGTCGATACTTGCTTTGGTTTTTAATAGTCATGCACTTAAAAATTTTCTACAACTGAATATGAATTTAAGATTAGAAAGAAAACGGTTTCAAATACAGCTAAAGGCAGAGAGTGTTAAGAAGTCATGTTTATCCACATAACTCAGCCGAGAGGCGTTTATCTAACTTCAAGGCTAACACGGCAAATAATAAATAAGGTTTTAAAATCAAACCTCTGGGTCTCTCATGTGTGATGAAGGTAAAAGTAAAAAAAATGGCCATGAAAGCGTGATCGCTTATTTAACCTCTTTCTCAAATCAGTTTTTTAGGGTTTTAATTATAAATAAGTTTTAAAGTACTATACTTCCCGGCACCGAGGACAAACCTGACTCAAGGGACGCACTCTAGTTTCGATGCGCATAATTTAGATAAAAAAGAGAATAAACATAAAATTAGATAAAATAAATAAAAAAAAAAAAAAAACTATCGTTCGCTTTGCAGGACACAGGGTAAAATTTCAAGATTTAATGGGGGGGGGAATAAAATCTTTGACACTGAGATATATGGGAATTATTAAAGAGAAATATCAGATTTTGAAATTCCTTTTTTTTTCTTTTTTCATTTCTGAACGCTTTCAGATTCATACAACAAAAAATCGACAGAGAGTTGGATATAGATTACAACATTTATCAATCTATACATTGATATATGTTCTTACTTAACGGTATTTACATCAATATACATTTATATAATCACAAGATCACTTAGTCGGGTATAAGTTTCGGGCACCTAGTGAGAATCGAACTCAGAACTGTGTAATTAACCTGATAGACTTTCACGAACGGAGTAAAGTCTCCCAAGAGTTGCTAAAAGGATGGAATTCATTCTGAGTCAAAGAATGGTTTATTTATTTTTCATTTCGATGTTTATTCCTATCATCTTCGGAAAATAAAAAAAAGTATCGAGCTATTAACAAATTAAAAAATACTTTTTGTTTTGGAATTAGATATTTCCCCAGAAGCATTCTGGGAGTACTTTCTTAGTTTTAAAATCAAAATGATTTCATGGAAAAAATGTTTTATGCGTAATCATTAGATTTTCAACATTTAAGATGTCGTAAGAAAGATTGTGTGACGTCTAGTTTTCCAAGTGGGGAGGTCATACCTACCTTAAAAAAATCAACGTTGAGAATCCCTTTACGTAGGCTTGAACGCTGGCCATTAGCACAAAGCGAAAAATACACAACATAATGAAAATATAACAATTATTACAGATTTCGCATTCAAATATTCTATCTCACTCTGTCTGTGATGTTCATACGACGATCTTTTGCGTAAATCGTAATACACAGATACATAGACGCACGCACATACACACACATGCACACACAAACACACACACACAAACATATCCACACGGGCATACATTCACAAAATGCAAAGGGCGCTTTCACAGCAAGCAGCATTCATACGGTCGTATTTAAGAGGATTCATCGACGTAACTATTCAAGCCTACGTGTTTCCCCAGATTTGGAAAGGTGAGCAGGAATTTAGAACGTACGCACACACGCACACAGGGCTTCGCTTGCATCCACGCCAACCTGCGCTTAAACAAACAGATCTGTCGACAGACAGGCCACCTTACATCTATACGGTTTCCCGGCACTTCAAAACATACACAGGTACTTTTATATACTTTATATATCAATATATAAATGCAACGCACACCGTTTTAAATAAAAAGACATCTATTTCAAATACGAATATCCACTATAAAAACGTTTGTTATATATATATATATATATATATGATAAAAATAAAGTTTATTTAAGGTATGCTATGTTTATGGGATTTAACGTGTGTAAGTAGCCTGAATATTGCGGCAAACTATGAAACAGACTGTCGCAGCTCGGCGTTGTCTTCAGGGTCCGCACACACACACACAAACACACACACACACACACAAACACACACACACACGCATATATATTTATATATATTGAGACATGTTTCGTTAAAGAATTTAGACATGTTCTGTCTACTTATTTTCAGTAGGATCCTTTCATATTCACGGATAAGATTTTTGGTACCGTTATTGAAGGACGAGAGAAAAGTCGCCGTGTTGGTATATATTTCTTTTATTTCCGAGTATTTTCGACATAGCACAATGCCATCATCAGGGTATTGATAATAAACGACATCAAAAGCTTATCCGTGAATATGAAAGGATCCTACTGAAAATAAGTAGGCATAACATGTCTAAATTATTCACCGAAACCTAACTCAATGAAAATATGCTGCCAAAATTTACCCATATATATATATATATATATATATATATATATATATATATATATATATATATATATATGTATGTATGTATATGTATAGATAGATAGATAGATAGATAGAGATTCAAGGTGAGATATATAAATAAATCAAAAGAAATCGAAGTTTGCGTGTCAAAGATTGTGGCACAGATCGATGTTCGATAGATAGATATGTGTATGTTATTAACTGCTTGCATGTACAGTGGTGTCTTCAGAAATATCCATATTTATACAAACACAGAAGAGAAGGAGATTAAAAACACTGCTTTCAAAACGCTAATATCGATTGGCTATTATCTTGTAAAAACAAAAAAAATACTTATTGAGCAGTAGTTAGCAAAACTGGCCTATCAATATTCTTATGTTTTAACTTACGTAAGCTATCCCTTTACTCAAAATATACTTATGTGTTACTTGCTTGTTTGATGTGCTCAGCAGTGAGCCGCTTATTCAACTGAGGGATACCAAAAGGAAATATATATATATATATATATATATATATATATATATATATATATGCCTTAGCACCTGAAGATTGCGCTGTGCATGAAACTCCGGATCGTGCTACTGTCAGGGATAATTTGTATATATTATTAATATATAGTTCTGTTATTACACTGAGCTCTGTTTTATAAACACCTACACTATATGTGCGATATATATATATATATATATATATATATATATATATATATATATATATATATATATATATATATATATATATATAAATGTGTGTGTGTATGTCTCAGTGTCGTTGTCAAGCACACTCATAAACACATATATATGGATATATCAGAGGCAAACATGTATACAGTATGCATACACTGTCAACAGTAACATAGATACTACTAAATCTATGTATGCAAATATGTATTCATACCTGCATACTAACATATATGTATAAATATGTATACATATATAAGTAGCAGTAATATTCACTTTACAGCTTTTTTGTGCATTCCCTCTCACATGTACACACACACACATATATATGTAGCAACAGCTTTTAACTTATATATATATAAAGCTGCTGCGATATATATATATATATATATATATATATATATATATATATATATATATCTTAAAAATATATATATATATATATATATATATATATATATATATATATATATATATATATATAAGTTAAAAAGCTGTTGCTTGAAGAAAAAGAAAGAAAAGAGAGCGAAAGGAAAATCCATCACAATGCGCAGATGTGAATATTTTACGTGACCAGAATTTCCTGGACTTAAAAAAGGCGTACCATTACTTTACCAGAAAGCCATTCTTCCCAAATCCCTCATTAGACAATCAATGTTTTTAAAGAAATATTTTCAAGAGATCTTCAATCACCATATCTTAATTCAGCCACATGGTGGTCACTATTCAATTCGTCTCATATTTCTAAAAATGTTTACGAGACGAACTTTCCTCAACGTCAATCGCAAGTTCGAAAAGACGGACAAAGAAAAGGTAAAAAAAAAGAAAAGAAAAAAAGATTTCTGTAAAAATTTAAACGCGCATTGGAACAAATTTAAATTTTAAGAAGACTGAAAACAGTCTACAGAACGACTTTATGGTAATGTAATCACGTGACCCATCGTAAATCTCTGGCCATTTTGAGTAAATGACAGTTTGAATCATAACTTTCGCTAAATGTGCAAAATTGATTTTATTTTATTTTTAAGCTAAGAATATTCCTTCACTCTCTACCTCCCTCTCTCCCCATCTTTCCCTCTCACTATCTATCGATATACGTGATTGTGTTTGCGAGTGTATATACCTGTGTCCATATGGGAGTGTGAGTGAGTGTGTGTCTTTGTGTTTATTATTTTAGTGTTTATGTGTATATGTGTTTGAGGTGTTTGTCTATGTTTGTCTAAACGTGTGCCTTTTCGCGCGTCTTTTTTGTGACAGACGCGCGATTTTTATAATAATTATTATATTTTACAACCTTTTATTCAACAAAATACTCTCAGTATTTTACGATGTTAATATTAAATTTTTTTTTTTTTTTTAATATTGACATTTCTGCTTTTCTTACATTCTGCCTTTCTTTCACTTTCGCACTTACCTATACTAGCATGTATGCTCCGTACTGTATTTCCAAAATTCTCTTTTTGTAACAAACCATCGCGATATCGTTCGTACAACTCCATCATATAACGTGGGGGTCGAGCCGGTTCGTCCGGGTCCGGCAAAAGCCTGTTGTTTCTATCGCGGGCTAAGCGACCCTCATCAGCGCCGAAAAGCACCTTCATTGATTGTTGCAACATTGCAGTGTGCACATCCCCGTAGTGAATGTCATGTTTTGCGACACATGGGGTCGGAGAAAAAAACAAAACAAAAACCAGCCCTGCCGTAAGTCCAAGAAGATGACCATACATTGTGAGTGAAATAATAGAAAAAAAAAAAAGAAGGTATTTTTTTTTCTGAAGCGAGTGGGGTGTCGTTTGGGCTAGTCTTACTTTTTTTTCTTTTTTTAAAAAAAAAAAAAAAAAAAGTTGTGAGTGATGTCCGAGGTGTGAGCGTCCGTTTTGACCTAAGTTTGAACCTCTTTTATCACTATCGATGGATTATTATAACCAAAAAAAAAAAAAAAAAAATGAGTTTCCTTGATTTAAAAATCGCCTTTTTTTTTCTCTGTTTTCATTTATCCAGCCTGAGTCCCAATATTTAGAAACGACCTGAGTTTTCATCTCGCTTTTTTTTCTTCTGCTCCTTTTTTTTTTTTTTTTTTTTTTTGCTTCTTAAATTCGAACTTATTCTTTTTCTTCTTCAATCGAATCCAGCGAACGCACAGCGTTTTAAAGTCGCTCCGTTTAAAGACGAGAGTAAGTCACTTCTAATGATAGTATTTTGTTGTGGTCTGAATTGTAGTAAACTTGTGGTTGGTTGTCGCTTTTTGTGGTTGTTACCACGTCTGACGTTGTCGTTACTACTGGCGTTGGAGATATTGTGAATGATTGTAGCTGTAGTCGTAGTAGAAGATGAAATAGTAGTAGTAGCAAGGGGTGGGTGACTATGCGAATGAGAGTGGCAGTAGGCACCGCCTTCTTCCTTAGGAGAGGCCGAAGGTATAAATGGGGGATTGGAAAGAAAGAAAGAAAGAAAGAAATAAAGATTATTCTCGTACTCGGTAGCGCCAAAGCTACTGTTGCAGTTTCTTCTTCTTCTTCTTCTTCTTCTTCTTCTTCTTCTTCTTCTTCTTCTTCTTCTTCTTTTCATCATCATATGAATCTATCATCATCATCATCATCATCACCATCATCATTTATTTACCGTGTCTCTTCAAGACGTGGGCGTTCATAACTCTCCACAACTTCCTAGTGGCAATTAAAGTATCAGACATCATCATTCTTGCTGTCATCGGTTCTTTTTTTTTCTTTTCTCTCTTTCTTTCTTTGTTCGGATTTTTCTTTCATCTTCTTTTTGACTTAGTTTTACCTTTGCATATTTCCTCCCAATATTTACGGTCTTTCATTGTTTTTTTTTTTTTTTTTTCATTCATTTTCATTTTCTTCTTTAATTCCTGTTTGTTTCTTCTTTTCTCCTTTGCGGTCAACTTTTACTTTTTCTTCTGTTTATATATTTTCCCATGCATTTGTTTCCCTTCTTTACTTAGTCCGTTTCTTTCTTTCTTTCTTTCTTTCTTTCTTTCTTTCTTTCTTTCTTTCTTTCTTTCGTATACCTCAAAATATCCGTCTCCAAAGCAATACATATTTCTATGAAAGACATAGTAAATGGCACGCAATATTTAATAAATAAATAGATAATTCGTATAACACTAAGTGAAAATTTATGCTGAAAACAGAAACACATTAATACAGATAAAATGTAATTTAAGAGAAACATATCTATGCATTTTATTTGACTTTGTCGTATGTACCTTGAAAGAGCGATACCTAAGGTTTAAAATGGCTTTTTAAAAACGAAAACATCTTTTTTGAAACTTTTATAATAGTTTAAATTTTAAGCTAATTCAATTTAAGATTTCTAATAAGCAAACGACTCTTTCAAACAGAATTTAAATTGATTGGAATTTTGTTTTATTACTAGTAAAACCGCTAAAATCGTCCATATTGACAAATCTGTCAACACAACGTAATTCTCTTTATTAAAACTCGTTCGAAAATAAAATATACTTTTCTAAAACTTTATTTTGGGCAGATTAGCTGATTTAAAACTTAGTTAATATGATTTGAAACAAATATTACATGCATTTAGTTTCAAATATCGCAGAATAGCACTTTTTAATTCGGAGGTGGATGTTTTATGAGGTGTTGACAACTCTATCGATATTCTTATGTTTAGGAATTTTTTCTAAGGGGGACATAACTGTAATAATTGCTTGACGAATATAATATTAACGCCTTTTTGACATTTTTTTAACTATCCAGTAATATTAAAATTTTTAAAATAATATTCTAAGCACTCTAATATTTTATTGAATTTTAGGTATTTTGGCTTTATAGTCTAACTTACGAAGGTTCCTGTTGAGAAAATGTTAGAAAATTACCAATTTTAACTTTTCTGTAGTGATCGCTCTTATTTTTTGATATTGTCTCGTCTGAACATCCGTATTTACAAAAGTCGACACGTTTATACAAACATAAAATAAATTCTAAATTCTTTTTAAAATATTGGGACTCGTTGAATTGCAGTGAGCTTTTACATTTATGATTTGTAGATGCAGTTTTAATTTAATAACAATATCTCTTGAACACTACTAATTAATACAGAATTTTTAAAATATCTAAAAGTTTATAAATTATTCTAATTAAAATTTAACCAAAAAAAATTCTTGTAAAAATTCATTATACATCGAAAAAAATTCTTAAGACAATAGTGTCTCTAATATATTTTATCCATAAAAGCATTTTTAAAAAATTAAGTAATGTCTTATGTTAATTCATTATTTATTTCACGTTTCAGAGCAGATTTTATGTAAGTACTCTTTGCCCAAAACAAATTCATGATTTGAATTTTCCAAGGACTTGTCCTTATAACTAATATAAACATTAAGCGCTACAAAAAAGAATTTCTCGAAACGTCATAAAAGTGGGTGTTAACAGATTTAAAAAAAAATATTTTTAGAAAGATTTTCTAAAATGAAACTTTAAAAAAAATATATAATTAATTCGCGAATAAGTTCTGAAAATTTAATTAAAATCCGACAACTATTTGATTTTTGAAAAAGTTTTTGCAAAACTTTTTTTAAAGAATTTTCGTTTTTTATTTTTCCTGTCAAAAACTTTTAATATCTCTTTTACATTTATTCCTCTTGTATTTTGCCCAGGAGATACATGGACTTATATGACCCCATATGACCTCATATGACCTCATATGACCTTAAATCATTTGGGTCGAGTTGTAATTCTTAGTTTAATTAATATCCGATATTTATGATTCCTTTCTTGGGATTTTCATTAAATAAGCACTTTTATTTTATTTTATTTTATTTTATTTTACTTTATTTTATTTTATCTTACTTTATTTTATTTTATTTTATTTTATTTTACTTTATTTTATTTTACTTTATTTTATTTTATTTTTTTATTTTATTTTATTTTATTTTATTTTATTTTATTTTATTTTATTTTATTTTATTTTACTTTATTTTATTTTATTTTACTTTTTATTTCATTTTATTTTAATTTATTTTATTTTGATGTTGTCTTAAATGAAAGTTAGCGTGATTCTTTTTTAGAAACTCTTCATGCAAATGATACAGTACCTTTTATATTTTAACAGATCTAAATATTTTCTTTTCCTTTCTCAGTATACGAAGATGAGACTACCATTTCCATTAGGATGCAATGGTGAACGAGCTGGAATTAAAAGTCAAAGCAAATGAGTTTAAGACTCACCTCTATTTGTAAATGCTTGTGCCACATTTGCGTATAACAGCTGAAAGTTTGGGCGCAAACATTCTAGGGAAATATATCAATGGCAGCCATCCCAATAATTATCAGATGACTAAACCCAATTACGAAAACCTTTAATAGAAGACTAATGGACATTGGGATCCATGCGAATGACAAAATAAGCATCATTGATTTGCAAAAAAATGAATTGGAATTGTAAATAGTTTGTTCGCATAGAGACCATTTATTTTATAGGAATAAAGTGTCACTGCCGACACTGGAGTTTGAACACTGATCACCAGAGAGCAAACACAGGCGATCCCCTTTTGAATAAATAGCTCACGTGATGGAAAAGGAAATGTATATATGGGAATTAGCGTGGCGTCTAAGTGATCACTATACGGATTGTTATTCGGATCACTATATGTTGGTTACTATTCGAGCGAGTATTATCGAGCGAGTATTATTAGTGCAAGTGATATTCAAAGGCGTCTGATAACAGTATTGTTCAACGGCGTTACTATATTTGTATCTGCGATTACAACGTCTCTACTACAACGAGCATTACGGAAGTGGCAACGAGTATTCGTTGACATCACAAAAACATTTTAAAAGCGAAAAATCCTAACTGAACTCTCATTTGAAAGCGGAATGTGTGCCGTTTCAGTTGGTGATTTTCTCATTCAAGTGACCAAGTGCATAAATTGGTGGCTTTGAATAAAAAAAAGAAGAAAACAATTTCTCTGTTGCTTTGTCATATTTGATCTTTAAATTTGTCTGCATTACTTTATTTACAAAATCATTTCTCTTAATACACCATTTTTAAAATACTTACTGTTGAGCGATGATTAGCAAACCTCATTTCGTTAAACTCTTCCTAGTATGGTGAGTTTCATCATATTGCGTTATACCAGATTCAGTTAAACTTACTAAATACCTACATTGTTACCGTTGGCCACTGGTAAGCAAGTTAGTCTCGTAGACCATTCGGAGTGGTGTCTTCTCCGAGTCCTTCATTTTTTTTATCTTGTGTCAGACTAAATTAGATTTATTAAGTATATGACAAATTCAATTTCAGCCCTAAGTCGTTTTGTCATAGTCTTAAGTATGGAGTGAACTCATCATAAATAGTTTGCGACAGCAAGCCACTAAGCATTGCACCAATGTAGATAAGATGTCAGTTATTACAATTACGGATGTCTCTAAAAATTGGTACTGAAGAGAAAGATTTTTTAGGTTACCCTACCGATAGGGGGCGATATGCTTGCTTTTCTATCCTATGATAATCAGTAAAAATACCTTTAGGTGTTTTATATTTTATTATCGAAGTAATTGCCTCGTTTATTGCAATAAATCATTTCATAAAATTGTTACTGATATTCTAAAATCTCCTATGACACTTCGATATGTGCATTGTTCTTTAAGCAGCAAATAAGCCCAAAAAATTTAATGGGGGCAATAGTGGTGGAATAAATGTAATTTTTACGAACACCGATGAAAGAATTGATTTTAACGCTGGACGTCATCACAATGCCGCTTATAATTTTTTTTTTTTTATTTACTCCATATGAGGCATAAATAAAAACTGTCCATCATTTCTCTGATTTCTTATATAAAGCTCGGATAAATTAATAATATATAAAAACAGAAAGCGAAAAAAATGCTAGCGTGTCTCTCTGTGAATAATCTTCTTTTGCGTGTCTTGTCTCCACAGGACGTGGGTAGACACGGCTCTTCATAATTTCACTTTTTTATTCTAAGTAACTTTTGATTTACTAACATCATTCTTTGCCTTTGTTCTGTGATCGATTCGCATATATTTTGTCGATTACTCGTTGTTTCCCCCGGTTTCACTTGCCATTAATATGTCTTGTGAGCATTATATTCTCTAAGCCTTCTTACCACATTATGTGTCCCAGAAATGTTAGTTGTTGCTATCTGATTGTAAGCAAAGTGTCGTTTTCATTCTTATTTTCTTTAAACGTGTAAAAAGTTTGAAATGATCAAGTTAGCTAAACGCCAAACACGTTGATGACAGATCACTTTTACATTAGGCCTGTGCAAAAGTGTCCACAAAATTACGGGTTTTAAAATATCTACTTAATCTCTGGTATTAGAAATGGCACTGGAAAATTATCTACGTGTTTAATAAAGATGGAAATTATATTGGTTCGTGATAAATGTTTTAATGTCCGTGTTTTTATCATTTCCTACTCTATAATGGCGGAAACATTCGGCATTAATTGACCTCGTAGTTAACGTTATTGTCGGTTGAAATTTATGAAAAATTCTGTTAAAAAAATCTTCCATGAAATTAGACTTTTGACTCCACGGTTATCACTGTCTCTAGAATTGATGGGAGTTTCTTTCCAAAACTTTTGTTCTTGGTAGAGTGGGAAGTTAAAATCATTATTCACTCAGTATTCTCTTTTATAGTTATAGTGATTCTACAACTTTGGCTGAGATGTGGTACAAGTGCGGATTGAACTCACAACTCAGTCGAAATTGTTCTAGCGAGACAAGCTTGCTAAGCATTACAGTCTCGAGGTGCCCAATAGTGATTTTCCAAGCGTAGATTAGATGTGGCACAAGGCCGAAAGTAGGGGTTACCCAGTGCTAATCAAACTCACTACTCAGTCGTAAACATTAAGTAGCTTAGATGTGGCACAAGGCCAAGTGTGTGGTGCACCCAATGAGGATCAAACTCACTATTCAGTCATAACTGTTTTAGCGAGACAAGCTTGTTAACCATTACACCACCACGAGGTGCTCCTCTCTTCTTGTTATATGATCTATCCATTTTTTGCTGTTGTTGCGTTTTGAAGTTTGCAAGTGTTGTTGTTTTTGTTATTTAATAATTAATAATATTTTTCTTTTGATTTTGTAACGTCAGAGTCTATAAGATCTAAAAAAAGAATCGTCTTCTTTAAAACCTGAACGACTTTTCCCTTGAAGCCATTTTTCCTCCTTGATTTGAGAAAACGGTTGTATACAGATGATAGTTTAGATATTTATCACTTTCATACGAGCGTCTAAATATGATGAGACTATTTAAGAACATGACACCCGTCCACAGGTTAATATTTGGCTTCTGTGCATCTTACAGTACCAGAAAGAGTCGCCCTAGTGCAACTTATCGTCTGTTCAAATTCCTTATTTCCTATACTAAATAAACTGAATGATACAGCTGAGATTTGCGGTACCATAAACTACGTTATAGTTAATCATATGATATTTAATAAGAGGCTTTGATTGAGGAATCGGAGAGCCGAGTTCGAATTCCAGTCGAATCCATTACATTTACTTACGTACTAATACCCTTGGGAAAAGCATGAATCCTCTTCTTCCCCCCCCCTCTCCAGCTATGGGTAAATAGCAGAACATATTGGGTTCTATAGCTTTGGCAACTGGTTTAGGAGAATTCATAACATGCGGAGGGTCGTTTGAGGATCTTGTAGCACGTAGTGTACCAGGTTTCTGTAAAAAAGTGTCGTTGGTTCTGTACAAAGCCTTCACCGCTATAATGCAGGTGTCTGACTGTTGGTTCCTAGGAACTGAGTTGGTGATCCTCATAAGTCGAATACGACGGGAGAGTCCATCATAATATTTAGTAATCTATTTTTGCGATTAGTTTAAAGATGGGGAGTAATTTATTTACTAAGTCTTCTATAGTTTACCACAATGATACACGTTTATTGCACTTGGATTTCATAAGTTGCAATCCAATTAGAACCTTTCTGAACAAACACAAAACGAGCGAGTTTCCATAAAATACAAAAGAGTATTTACTTTTTAAGGTAAACGAAACTATATTTATTAAGAATATATTAAATCAGAAACTTATATAGGTTGCCCTTTCCCAGAGTAAATTTAAATTTGTGTATAAATTTAGATTTTGAAACCTTTTTTTAGCACTTGGTATAAACTCAAATCGTTATAAATTTCTCTTCTTAAAATTCAATATGAAATAGTTTTTTCGTCGAATATTTGATCATGAATGTCATCAGCCCGATTCCAGGGAAAGAATCTTCGATCTTTTCACCGGCAATTCTATTGTTATTCCCTTTCGTTGATATTTAAATTCTGCTAGTATTTTAGATTTTTACAAGGGTCACGATTTTTACATTCCCACTCGATAAATGGTCGACTGAGTACATGCCATGAAAAACCTCGCATTTAATACTGATTGATAACCCCGCAGCTTGGCATAGATAATTGGTATAGAACAATGTGTGCACCCCTCCCGCGTTATACTGAGTACTTCCATCAATATTTAAAGAGACCATAGAAAACAAACGCAAACACACCCATAAATGATCACATAAATACACTTCTTTTTTTTACGAATATCCGTACAAATACTGACGCAATCAACAACATATAATCTCTCACTCTCTCTTTCTCAATTTTTTATTTTATTTCTGACCACCTTTTTCTTTCCTTTTAGCTCTTTTCAACTTTCTTTATCTCTTTCTCTTTGCTTCTCTCTCTCCTCTCTCTCTCTCTTTACACCCTCTCTTTATATCTATTCTATCTGTCTCTTTTCTCTTTGTTTGACAAAATCAGTTCCTTACATTTCTAAATGTTCTTTTTCTTTTTAGCATTTAGCGCTTCCCCCCTCTCTCTCTTTATATCTATTTCGATCTCTCTTTTGTCCTCTCTCTGTCTGACACAATCAGTTCCATATTTTCATAGATTTTCTCTCTTTTTTCAATCTTTTTTTTTTATCTCTCTCCGCCTTTTTCTTTCCTTGTACAGTGTAACCCGGATATAAGAGACCCGGATATAAGAGAAACCCGGATATAAGAGAGATTTTATCTGGTCCCAAATTAGAGCCCATACTTACCTAAACAAAATAGACCAAACCCGGATATAAGAGAAACCCGGATATAAGAGACTTCTTCTCCGGTCCCGACAAACTCTTATATCCGGGTTACACTGTAGCTTTTTTCAACTCTCTTTGTCCCTTTCTCTTCGTTCTCTCTCTCTCTCTCTCTCTACATCCTCTCTTTATATCTATTCTATCTGTCCCTTTTCTCTTTCTTTGACAAAATCAGTTCCTTCTCTCCTCCTCTCTCTTTATATCTATTTCGATCTCTCTTTTGTCCTCTCTCTGTTTGACACGATCAGTTCCATATTTTCATAGATTTCGTTCTGCCTTTTAGAACTTAGCGCTTCTCTCTTTCACTCTCTCTCCATTTCTCCATCTTTCTTTATCTCTCTTTATTATTTTCCTTCTTTGTAGCTATCTTTTCGTCTCTCTCTCTCTGTCTATTCCTCTGTGTTTCTATCTCTCTCTCTCTCTCTCAATCCTCTCTTTATATCTATTTCTCTTCTCTCTCTCTCTCTCTCTCTCTCTGTCAAACTCACACTATCAACGAAATATTTAAGCTCTCTTTACATCATTAAACCCATGTCATCTTTCTCTCTTTTTTCGTTACTTGTTCACTTAATCCCGTGTAAGAAAATATTATCTTCTTCCTCTTCAAAATGTTTTACCACATTTGTCGGGCATCAAATCCTAAATGGGATAATGATTCCCTCTTGGCACTAATTCCTTAAACTGACCGAAGAGAAGAAAAAAGTGATACTCTGTCGTGCTATTTGCGGTTCATGGCATGCCTGTCTTTGAGGATTCCAAGATATGGCATTTTGTTATGTGGACATTGATATTCGTTTTCGATTTGTTCTACTTTCTGATAATCACAACATTCTACACACAATCGGGAGAATGGATAAAAGCACGCACACACACACACGCACGCACGTACGCACGCATACATACACCAGGAAAAATATTAAACCAATGAAAAATGCATATAAAAAAGAAAAATCGCGAAGTATAAATAAGCAGTCAATTGATGATACTCCTGACGAGTGGACAGAGTAATTCTTGAAGGGTCTGCCTACGAAACTCTGGTGTTGGGATACTGAAGGTAACATCAACCAGCTAAGTGACAAAGCTTTTACTTATATTATACATACATACATACGTGTATATATATATATATACATACATATATATAAGCAAGAGTCGACACTTTGGACATGCTCACCATTTTTGGAAAGGTGGATATTAATGCGTCAGAGGTAGAAACCTATTATTAATACCAGATTTTTAAGAAACCTATTATTAATACCGGATTTTTAAGAAACCTATTATTAATACCGGATTTTTAAGAAACCTGTTATTAGTACCGTATTTTTAAGGAACCTATTAATAATACCGGATTTTAGGAAACCTGTTATTAGTACCGGATTTTTAAAAAAAACTATTACTAATACCAGATTTTTAAGAGACCTATTATTAATACCAGATTTTTAACTAAACTTTTACAATTAATATCGAAGTTTACGTTAAGAATTAATGGGTTATTGACGACCATACTCTATTTTTTAATTTAATTTTGTAATTTTATGATGGCAAAGAAAATAATGTAAAATTTAGCATAATTTTAAAAGGCCGTTTCGTAGAAAGACGTCAAAATGATGAATAATACATTTTGACTGCCGCTTTCATGTGAACGGTCTTCTTAAAAGACAGATGTAGTAACTGGCTTTAAAATGAACAATATGTTCAATCTCCTTCTGAGATGATTGAGAAGATCTAATAACCCTTTGATAACCTTGCGTCCTTAACAATTTTAATCTTTCTGACTGAGCCCCTGAGTCAAAATTCGCAAATAATTGGTATGTCATTTTTCACGGTAGATATAAAAAGAGTTACAAGTGTTTACCCGCCGTTCAACTGAGAGCTCGCCATTGAGTCATTTTTCTCTGTCACCAGTAAACCGATGATCAAGGCTCAAAGAGTTCAATCAGAAACTACAATTCACGAAACGAATGTATTTGACCATCAGTAATGAAGACAAGAAATCCAGTAATTCTTAGCAAACTTTCTATTCTGTGTTAGTACGTCGGCATCAAGCTGGCTGGGAGATAGATAGATAGATAGATAGATAGATAGATAGATAGATATTGAACAGGCTGAGATAGATAGATAGATAGATAGATAGATAGATAGATAGATAGATAGATAGATAGATATTGAACAGGCTGAGATAGATAGATAGATAGATAGATAGATAGATAGATAGATAGATAGATAGATAGATAGATATTGAACAGGCTGAGATAGATAGATAGATAGATACAGATAGATAGATAGATAGATAGATATTAAAAGGATGAATAGGATAGATAGATAGATAGATAGATAGATAGATAGATAGATAGATAGATAGATAGATAGATAGATAGATAGATATTAAACAGGCTGAGATAGATAGATAGATAGATAGATAGATAGATAGATAGATAGATATTGAACAGGCTGAGATAGATAGATAGATAGATAGATAGATAGATAGATAGATAGATATTAAACAGGCTGAGATAGATAGATAGATAGATAGATAGATAGATAGATAGATAGATAGATAGATAGATGTGAACAGAATGAGATAGATAGATAGATAGATAGATAGATAGATAGATAGATAGATAGATAGATAGATAGATGAAACGAACGATTTCTTAACACATACACGCGTACACTATTTACATTATTCGAACTATTGTTCTCATCTTTGTCGCTATATTTATCACAAAGTTTCAAGGACACATGGCACAGTGGATAAAGGCGTTGATTAGATCCAGTGACAGGACCCAAAGTGTGTGAGTTCAATACCCGGTTAAGGCAGTGGAGAACTTGGAGAGGGGAATTAGACATGGCATGTGGCACTAGAACAGTCTACCCCAGTGAGCGAAATAAAGGGTTAAGTTCCACATTACAACCACCTGAAGAAGGCCGGAGCGTACAACGGCCGAAGCATTGTGATAAATATGTCGACAAAGATGAGGACAATAGTCCGAATAATGTAAATAGTGTATATAATACCTCATCTCAGAAATATAGACAGATACGGAAAGGCTGAAACGTTATGATAAATATGGCGACAAAGATGAGGACAATAGTCCGAATAATTTAAATAGTGTACATAATACCTCATCTCAGAAATATAAACAGATACTGAAAGGCCGAAACGTTGTAATAAATATGGCGACAAAGATGAGGACAATAATCTGAATAATGTAAATGGTGTACATAATACCTCATCTCAGAAATATAGACAGATACATAGACGCGTATGTGCTTTTATTTGCTTAGCTTGTGAGCGCGTGGCACATACTAAAAGAATCGTGACAAGGCGTGAAAACTAAACAATGATATTCTTTATTTATGCATACCACCTGCACAAGTTGTCAACAGAGAGAGAGAGACTGTCAAGGTTAATTCTAATTAGGGATTGTTTTCTTTTTGTAGCTAGAATGGAAAAAGGAAAGAGCAAGAAAAAGAAAATGCAAGTGTTTTCATAATGACAACCAAATCTAATGTTGCCATTTTCTCATATGCTTCGACACTTAGCAAAGATGTCAGTTACTAGAAAATAATCATTAGAAAGTCTGTGAGGCTCTTCTTTAGAATTGTATGATAACGGGGGACTTTTTTGGCAACCCTCTGACGTGTGTTTAAACCCTCACAGTATTTCGTATTGTTGAATTTATCGCGAACATTTTTATCGACATTTACAAACTCTACGTTTCATTCAATTTGGCAAACCAATCGATGACATTTGAAGAAGCTGATTTATTTGGGAACATACTTTATCAAAAATCCTACTTCACGGTTTAATAATTTCTTTAATTTAATTTTATAGGACTTTATGATAAAGAATATTTCTTTTTTTTTCCTTTTTAACATCAAAGAATAATTTTCTTAGGATTTCTTACTCTTGAGCATGCAATATACAACTGGCTATGCGTAAATATTTCTTTGGTCTTGTGATTTGTTTATAGTTATCGCAAACGAACGTAACGGGAAACTGGATTCTTGTATATAGATAAAAACTAAAAGAAAAGATATGCAAAAAAAAAACAACAAACAAACAAACTAAAAACATTGCATTTTTATTAAATAAGTATTTGTTATTTTAATCATTAAATTGGTTTTAAAATAGTGGAAGTGTTAAGTATGTTAAATAATAAAACTTTTGGTTTTTCCAAAACAATAAAAATATATTGTACTAAGTTAATAAAACTGTACTTTATACCCTGTTACAATTCTTCCCAAAATTTGGTTTTGATCAGTCAATGTATGGGTATTTTAGCGGGTATGACGGACGGACAGACTAACGGAAGGCGCAGAATTTTATATAAAGATTGGAAATGGTTGGAATCATAACTTACTGGTGCTCTGAAATATTTTGTCTTCGAAATCACTACACTGAAACTTTAACATTCACTCTATTCCTTTCTTTTGTTTTTCTCTCCCCCCTCTCTCTCTCTTTCACTCTTTCTCTCTCCCTCTCTCTTTCACTCTTTCTCTCTTTCTCTCTCTCTTTCACTCTTTCTCTCTTTTTCCCTCTCTCTCTCTTTCACTCTTTCTCTCTTTCTCTCTCTCTCTCTCTCTCTCTCTCTATATCTCTCTCTTTGACTACCATAAACTCATGTATAGAGCATAGAGCTACAACCTTACCGTAAGTACGGTGGCATTTCCAAACTAACACCCAATCAGTTTTGATCAGTGTTGACTTTCTCCTCAATTGGTTGGCATTCAAGGTTGACATATATATATATATATATATATATATATATATAGTGCTGGTGTTAATAAAACAGTGCTCGATGTAATACAATAGAGTTATTAATTATATATTAATAAATATACATATTACCTTGCCGTTACTTTGACACGGAGTTTCCTGCATAACGCAAATTATCAGGTGCTAAAGTATAGTATGGTATACTTAGCACCTGAAGATCGTGTTGTGCATGAAACTCCGAGTCGTGCTAACGGCGAGGGGTAATATATATATATATATATATATATATATATATATATATATATATGGGTACCTCCAAAAATGCGACACCTAAGGGTTAAAAAAACATTTAAAAAAATGAAAAATCTTTCTTGAAAACTTTATTTTATTTTTAATTCCAAGTTAATAGATTAAATTTAAGATTTCCAGATAAGTAAAATACTTCGCTGTATTTCAAAACGAATTTAAATTTATTAGAATTATTTTTTAAATCGCTAAAAATATCAAAATCAGTCAATCTGTTATTTAACAAAACAGCATAATTTTCTTTGTTAAAAAATTTTTCAATAATAAAATATATTCTTCTGTAATTTTATTTGAGAAAGATTAACTGATTGAATGTTTAATTAATCTGAATTAAAAAGAAATATTACTTTTATTTCGTTTAAAATATCGCAGAAAAACATTTTTTTTTAATTGAACTTGTTTTGGGGGATGTCCTGACATTTGGTATTTTTTAAGTGTATTTAACTGTAATAATTACTTGAATAGAACGTGAACATCTTTTACATATAATTTTTTAACTACCAACTAATTTTAAAGAAAATATTCTAATTAATCTAATATTTTATTGAATTTTAGGTTATAGTCTTACGAAGACGCTTATTGAGTAAATGTTGGAAAATTACCAATAAATTTTAAATTTATTATAGTTACCGCTCTTATTTTCTGATAATATCATGTACTGACGACCATATTTACAAAACTCGGCACGTTTAGACACACACAGACACACACACACATACAGACACACACACACACACACACAAAAAAAAAATTTAAATCCTTTTTAAAATATTTGGGTTCGTTGAATCTTTTGCATTTTTGAATAGTAAATTCAGGTTTCACTTAATAACATCACTTAACCGCTACAAATTAATGCAGAATTTTAAAAGATTTAAAATTCTATAAATTATTCTAATTAAAATTTAAAAATACAATTAAAAAATACAATGTAATTCATTATTTATCGATAAAAATTTTCTTATGACAATCGTGTTCATAATATATTTTATTCATAAAATAATTAAAAGCTTTTCTAATTAAATAATGTCTTAGTTTCATTTCTTTATTTTATTTTACGATTCAGAAGAGATTTTCTGTAAGTCGGGGTGCTGTTTGATTTAAATTTTCCAAAGACTTGTGCTTGTGACTAATATAAACATGAAGCCCCGCACAAACTGAATTTATCTAAATTTCATTAAGTTATGGGGAAGGGGTAACAGATGTAAAAAAAAATTACAAAGATTTTCTAAAAAAGAAACGTTACTAAAATAATTCAATTCATTTGTGAATAAGGGCTGAAAGTTTCATTAAAATCCCACAGTCATTGACTTTTTTAACCAAAAATTTTATGGTCCTAAAAAAGGATTAAAAATCTGATTTAATCATAAAAGTCTTTCCTCTTAATAATAACGGAGATTTTTACGCTAACACTTTTGTTTTTATTAAGTTTTGGTCATGTGTTCACCATGTATGCTCATTTTTAGTGACTCTGTGGAATTACCTAATTACACACACAAACGGACATATACTTATCTCTCTCTATCTCTCTCTCTCTATATATATATATATATATATATAAAACCAACATTATAGATAGATAGATATATATATATATATATATATATAAAACCAACATTATAGATAGATAGATAGATAGATAGATAGATGAAGATATGAATATAGATAGATAGATAGATTATGAATAAATGAATAGATAGATAGATAGATATGAACAGATAGATAGATAGATAATAATAGATATGATGATAATAGCAATGATAGATAGATATGAACATCCATTTATATATATATATATATATATATATATATATATATATATATATATATAACGATTAGAACAACAATCCAAATAGGCCATGTATGATAAATAATAGAATAGATTCAGAAATAATATCGATCGATCTATTGCAAATTATAGCGTTCCATCCATGGAGGTAGATAGAGGTTAATAGATAAACATCTCCTTCTACCTATCCAATTATAGATCTCATCTATCAAACACACGTACACATTCATTTAACTAAATTCATCTGCAATCGTCTATCAGAAATATAGCATGGTGAAATCTAAACGTCGTACTGTGACATAGAATCCAACTAGCATCCCGAATATCTATCTATCTATATCATCTAGATAGATAGATAGATAGATCATATCTATGATCATTCATATCTATCTAGACTATCATATCTATCATTGTTTCATCGACACATTCTATCTATCTATCTATCGCGTTCATATCTACAGATCTTCATCTATCTATCGATCTTTCTATCCTATCCTCCCAGATCTTCTAATCGTCATCTATTCTTCATCTATGTTCATCTATGTATGGGATATAGATCGTCTATCTACATTTCCAGTGGAGCGTTTAATATATGTCTATATATGAATAGTATAGATATTTATATATATATATATATATATATATAACCAACATTAGAACAGATCCGTAAATCCAAATAGGGCTAATGGGATTGCCCGACGTGTATGACCTCTAGGTTAAATAATTAAGAAAAATATATCAAATGAATTCAGAAATAATATCGATCGATCTATTGATGAGAATTATAGCGTTGGTGGTGGAGGTTTCGATAACTGGCGATTGATGTAAAATCTACTAAGAGGTTAATTTAAACTTGTGACCTTGGTTTAGAGAAAACGGCTTTGCTCTACCATTGTCCTCAGGGCGGTTTCTCTCTCTCTCTCCTTCTATTTCTCCTCCCAATTATTTCATTCTGTCTCACTGGCACAAAAACACATTTGATTTGGATGACGCGAAACACATTCATTTAATTGATCAGATACTTTAAATTTTTTCTGCAATCGTCGTAGAAATATTACATGGTGAAATTCTAAATCAGTCGTACTGTGACATAGAAACCAGTTCGCCTTTTGATTCTGACGGAATTCCAGTGTCAACATTCCCTTTTGAATATTAATTATCAGAATCTATTCATCATTCATTTATATATATCTATATATATATATCTATCTATATATAGACAAACCTACCTAGGTTTATAAACGGATCGTAGTTAGTTGTTACTCATTTGTTCATATTTTTTCATGGAAAGTCCATGTTTGTAGCTCTTCTTTTATTTAAAACCTTTTTTCTATTCATTCATCTATATATATATATATATATATATATATATATATATATATATATATATATATCTATTTGAAACCATGGGGTTAATTTTTTAGGGTCTCTTTGATGTGGTATTATCTATCTAGAATTTGTATTGAATGAATTGAATCGGGTTAGCTAGCTATCTATCTATCAATCAATCTATCTATTTAGCATTGTTTCCATTATATCTATCTATCTATCTATTCATTCATCTATCTATTCATCTATCTATCTAGCACTGTTCATCTCTATCTATCTATCTATCTATCTATCTATCTATCTATCTATCTATCTATCTATCTATCATTGTTCATATCTATCTATCTATCTATCTATCTATCTATCTATCTATCTAGCACTGTTCATCTCTATCTATCTATCTATCTATCTATCTATCTATCTATCTATCTATCTATCTATCTATCTATCTATCTACTGTTCTATCTATCTATCTGTCATTGTTCATATCTATTCATCTATCTATCTATCTATCTATCTATCTATCTATCTATTTATCTATCTAGCATTGTTCATATCTATCTATCTATCTATCTATCTATCTATCTATCTATCTATCTAGCACTGTTCATATCTATCTATCTATCTATCTATCTATCTATCTATCTATCTATACTTACGTCTTTCCCCTCGTCCTTTTACCGCTTGGCTGTACTTCCTCTTTGCAAGGACCATAGGAAGGCGATCGAGCGCTTGTTGTCCACCCTCTTGTGGGGTGGGCGCAAGCAGAAGGTCCGTAAAGAAGCTTGTGTCCAACGTACGTGTCATGGGGGGCTGGGATTGCCGCACGTGGTGAGTCATCGACGCCTCGACGCTTTCCGAGGCCGCGTTTTGACAGAGGATTCGATTTTGGTGGGGAGTGTTAGGGACGCCTTCCCTAGACTTACTATCACTCCTCCCATTTCCTGGGCTAAGCACCTTCGTAGATCCGGAAAATTGTCGACTTTTCTCAACGAGTGTCGAGCGGCCTTGAGGATTTTTCCTCGGTCCAGTGACCTTTCACGGCCTCGAAAGGTCTTGTATCGTGAATTAGTGGAGGGGTCTTGAAGGGTCGTCTCTGCGAGCGGCTCGGCTTGTCGGTGGACGAGTTACGTTTTTTCTGGTCTTGGGCGCCAGCGGCGAATTACCTCAGTAACACTGAGTTTTCGCTTAGCTGGCGATTGATCCGTAACGTGCTATCTCCCAACGACATGGCCTTCAGATGAGGCTGGGCGGATTTGCCCGACTGTTACCGGTGTGACCTTGGTTTAGAGGAAACGGCTTTGCACGCCTTCTACCATTGTCCTCAGGTACGCCCTTTTCTGGGACTATGTCGGCGAGCTGACGGCTCGTATCGCTCCCGATCAGCTTGTGCTCATCGATTTCGCATACGCGTGCGACAATGTGCCACCCCCGTATTCTGGGGTGAAACGAATGGTGTTTCTAACGTTGCTAGCCGTGGCAAAAATGGTGATCTGGATGACGCGAAAGGAGGGGATCTTGTGACGGGAACGCTATTCTCATCAGGATCTGATCAGATACTTTCAGCATCAGCTGAAAGTGAATATCAGAACTGATAGAAAGCGTTCGGTGTCGACAGATTTCAACGAAAGGTGGGTAAAAGTAGCGAGTTTGGTTCGTGTGAAAGGGGCTATCCTTGAGTTCCTTTTTTAAGTTTCCTCTCATCACAACGGGGCGGTTTCCTGCGAACCCTCCCCCTGGTTAAGGTAGATCCCCTTTTGTGTACCTCTCGACTGATTCAGTCTTTGACTTCCCCACGTCCCACATTTATTTTTCACCTCCCCCATTCCGTTAGAGAGTTCGCCTCTTGATTCTGACGGAATACAGCGGCAACTCTGATTTTTGTGGCGTAGACGGGCCCTACTAACATTAATTATTTTCTGTTACTTTCTGTTTTATATATAATTTTTGTATCGGGATTCAGAACCCTCCCCATCATTTCACATCATCGTCAGATTTATATATATATATATATATATATATATATATATATAGATACACCTAGTGAGCCAGACAAACCTACCTAGGTTTCACCTAAACGGATCGTCAGGGAGCTCTTGTGTTAGTTAGTTGTTACTCGTATCGGGGTTTTTTCTTTGGGCTTCAGACCTGCATCTGTGCGATTTTTTTGTCGGCAGAAGTCCATGTTTGTAGCTCTTTCTTTATTTAAAACCTTTTTTTCCCTCGAGATTGATTTGATTAGCAAATCAAAAATTCGAGGGTTTTTCGAAACGAGTCTAGTTATCTATATATATATATATATATATATATATATTATGAACATTTGTACATAATTTGAAACCATGGGGTTAATTTTTAGGGTCTCTTTGTGAATGTGGTATTGTGGTATATGTAGGAGTAAAAGGTGAAGGGTGAATTCTTTGGGTGAATGGGTTATTTGTATTGAATGAATGGGTCGTGAATCGGGTTAGCTAGCTAGAGGGTAGGTAAGGAATGACCAACCTCAACCCCAACCCC